GCCCCGGAAGGGTGCAGACCCAGCTACAGACCCAACCTTCCCAGGTGCCCCAGCAGGGTTCCTTGGGAGGGGTCAGGCTCGGCAGAGTGGGCTGGGTGGGCATGACCCCACGTTTTACCCACTGGGCCTCGACAGCTGTGGGGATATTGGGGAGAAATGGATTGTCTTGGAAAGCGGGAGCAGAGCCCCTGAATGGGAAGTAAGGTGCAGAGTGCTGGGGGGATGGGGCGGGTGTGAGCCAAGGTCTTGTGATCCCCGCTTCTGTGGCCCAGTGACCCTCTGTCACCTGACCTGGGGAAGAGGGGGAGGGGGCTTTCGGGAGGTGGTCCTAGGGGAACCAGAGAACACATCTGCCAGCCTTTGGGATTTTTAAATTCAAAAGCGTGATTCAGCTTTAAGATTGAAAAGATGGGAACCAATAGAGGCCAGGGAGGCAGGGGCTCTGGGGCTGCCCTGCTGGGGGTGGACTGGGCAAGAAGAGGCAGGGCGCCTGACCAGGAGACTAGGTTCTGCCAGCAGAGCCCACCTCTTTACACCAAGGATTTCACAAGACCCCTTTTGATCTCTTGAAAGGAAGTTATACTTAATAATTTTATACTTAATAACATGCCTACACACAAAGTAAAATAAATATGCGTAGTGCCCTATAAAATAGGACAAGTAAAGGGAAAGTGTTGGTGGATGGAGCGACGTCATGCGTTTCCATGTGCCCACACTCCACATGATGGCCCTGCACAGGACCCCCCGCCCCCAGCGAGGGCACCACCTAAGAAGGCAGGGAGCCCCAGGGCCAACAACTCACAAGCCACGTGGGGCCCTGTCCCTAGTGATGCCAAGTTTGAAATGATCCACTTGGCCAAAGCTCCAACCTCAGTGAAGCCTTCCCTCTATTCACATCAGCCTGCATTCCTGGGAAATCCCAGCATCTCCAGACTTTGCAAAAACCCAAATAATAACTTCATGTTAGGATTTACACAGAAGTAGGCTCTAGACTCAAACCGTTATAAACAGGTTTGTGGCTGCCCTTGGCGTCCAGCAGGAAGTCCACGGGATGCCCTGGCGCACTGCAGACCCCTGACAGTCTGGCTTTGTGTCCACTCGATGCCAGTAGCGCCCCCCCCCCATTCATATGACGCTCAGAAACCTGCCACGAGTTTCGAAACATCCCCGACGGCTGTGCAGAACCACTGAGACCCACTGGTCAAGACCATGTGTCCCTGGGCCCCCATTGCCCCACCACGCCTTCAGCCTGTGTCTTGGCAACACCCTCCTGCCAAAGACCACGGGAGCACACATGCTGTCAAGGGGGGGTTGATGGACTTGGGACAACAAGGGACACCACGTACGGTGGGGCATCTTGGTAAGACAGCATTAGAAAGGATCAACTATATAGGACTTGGGGGACATTCACAGAAATGGGGCTTGGCTCAGGATTGGGTGCTGGCAGGAGGTAGAGGCAGCTGAGAGACTGGGTATCCTAATAAATCCTATCTAGAAGGCGGAGGAATGAAGCCAGGCAGCGGCTGGGGAGGGTAGGAAGCTGAGGTACACATGCCAGCCAGCAGAGGGGGCTGGTGGTCCCTGGGGTTCAGACCAGGTCAGCGGGCTGGCTCCCAGGCTGGGGCTGGGGGTGCCTCCCTCCAACAGGGTCAGTGGTCTGGCCGGGTTGCAGGTGCTCTGTGAACTCGTTTGCGAGCATACCACAGCCCCGCATGGGCTCGGGACTGGGCTAGGCTGAGGCATGGAATTGAAGGGGGGGCCCTGAATCTGAGCAATCAAGATAAGTGGTATTTTACTGGAGTACTTTTTAAAAGTGGGCTGGCAGGGTCCCCAGATTGTCTGTGGTCTTTTGGGCCCAGAGGCTTTACGGGGACGCATGAACCACAGGTTTTGCTTGCTCCTTCGGTTTTTGACAGGCTGGAGAAGAGTGGAGATCTTGAGCCCTGGGTCAGCATCTCCCTCTTGGACTTGGAGATCCAGTCCTCCCCAGCAACCCACTGTGCGTTCCTGGTTGGGTATCTGCCCTGCGCAGATGGAGGTGCTGGGATTCACCCTGCAGACTGGGGTTTGCTGGGCCTCTGAGGTTTTTGGAAGCTCCCCAGATGATTGTAACATCTACATCCATTCCTTGAAGTACTCATGAGGCTATTGGCTTTGAGGGGGGTTGTGTGCTAGCATTCACACTGCCCAGGACCCCCAGGGAGCATGGAGCAGACGGTCCAAAGCATGACTTGCATGAGGATCCCCTTTGCCCCCCTGCGGCAACAACAGAGAAAAGGGAGAGAACTTTGAGCCCCAGGACAAGATGGTTAAGCCCCCACCCAGATGATTCTCCTGAGCAGGGGGGTCCCTGGAAGGAGGTCCCCGTGCTGGGGGTGAAGGTTGTTTCTGTATCCGAGTCTGACCTGGGGTCTCCCCAAGTTACCCAGGAAGACACTCTCAAGACTGGAACACGCAACAGTGGGATGGAAGACATAGCCTGTGGGTGGGGGTAGGAGGCAGGACCGCCCCCCACGGTGGTGTCTGTGGCTCTGATGGAGACGGGGGCCTCCGATCGGGCCCGCGAGGGAGACGGTGGGTGGAGAGCACCGTGTCTGTGAGGGGTGACGGCTGCAGCCAAGGAAGGCGGGGTGTGGAAGCCTGGGGACCCTCATGCCTCCACAGGGTCGGGGGCTGTCCCTGTCCCTGGCCAGGCCTTGGCCCTCTCCTCACTCTGCAGGTGTGTGGCCACACCGGGAAGCCGCATATCCCCAAGGGCCCATGTGGTCCCCAGGTGGCGAGCCTCCTCTGAGGGCCTGGCAGCCACAGGCAGAGGACACAGAAGCTCTTTGGCCCCCCAGAGCGAGCGCCCCTGGGCTGCCCATGAGCCCGGGGCATCTTCCATGAGCCCAGGCCCCGGGAGCCCAGGGCCACGGAACTCGCGCTGAGAGCCACTGGGCGTGAGGCAGCCCCGCAGAGGCTTGGCGCTGTTTGCTCATCTCACCCCTGGAGCAGGTCAGGGGGGAGCCACGGAGGGCAGATCTGGACTCGGGAACCCCAGGACTGGCAGAGAGGAAAGACAGGGGCGCGTCCCCTCGCTGTGGGGAGGGTGTGGCGAGTGCTCTGGGACCAGCGCCTAGGGGGGTGGTTGCCGGCCGGGCCCAGGTATGAGGACTTGCTTGGGGGGAGTAATGCACGGTGTCAGCCGGGGTCTTGCTCTCCCATCGGGACCTCGAGGGACACATCTGCCCACCTAATACTTTCTGCTGACGGGAGCAAACTTGACCCACCACCCACAGGACAGTGAGAGCCAAAGGTGACCAACCTGGAACATGCCTGAAGCCTTGTTGTAACTGAGGAAGGGGCAGGGGGAGGAAGGGGGGCCTCCAGCCTCAGGTTCTGGGTAGACCCTGTCCCTCCGCGGCACAGGGGCAGACAACAGGCAGTCCCGGGGCAGGTGGGGAGCACAGGGGGAGGGGGTGTCCGGATCAGGGCTCAGGCATGGCAGACACAGGCAGAGACGGGTGGGCTGTCACCATCGATGAGGCTGTGCGGCAGGAAGCTGCAGAGCCGGGCCCCGGAGGCCGGCTGGGTAGCAAGGGGGATGGTGACAGCATGGCCCCGTCACCAGGGTGACCTCTGAACCCCCCTCTAGCTAAGATCCGGCCCGGCCTCCAAGGCTGGGCTTGGTCTGTGAGGAGAAAGGGACACACAGGCAGAAGGAGGGGTCTGTCCAGGTGAGCACCGCTGTGGGTAGCACGTACTCTGGGGAGGAGGCTGCGCTTTGCACCTGCTGCGTGGTCTGAGGTGTTTCCAGAAAGGTTCGCTCCCTAGGCCTGGCAGGTGTAGTGGCTGGACATTAGAAGGAACACACAGGGCTTTGGATTTGGAGGCCTGGGTGTCCTGCCTTGGCCTCCTCATAGCAGACCCCATTGCGTGGGACTTTTAAAGTCTTTTTCCTTATCTGTAAAGCAAGGGTAATGGTATCTCACTTCCAGGGACATCATCAGCTCGGGGCACCTGGCCCCAAGTGCAGACCCCAAAACAAAGCCTGTTGTTCTGATGGGAGCCGGTGTCTCTTTTCAGTAGGAGGATGACTCAGACCAAGAGACCCCATTTCTGTGAGCTGCTCTATTTGTTGACGGCCGTCCGGCAGGAAGGAGCACACGGGGAATCGAATCTCTGGCCGTAAGAGGGTGCGGGCGGCAGACACAGCGTGCAGGACGCCCGGCCCGAGCAGAGGGTCGCGCTGAGCTTCCCACCCAGGGGCCCTGCATGACATCGGTGGGGACGCACGTGCCCCAGAAAGTTAGGGACGGAGGGAAGAACTCTGCATCTAGGGGTTGTTAGGACTTCATGAGAACCTGAGACAGAATCTTCATGGTGAAACTAGCTCATTTCTTCACAAAGCTGCCTCCATTTTCAGAAGAAAAAGGTAAAAGACCACCAAGGGGCCACAGCTATTACACTTGACTTGCAAATAAATACAAAAAAGTGCCAGTTGGTAAGATGGCTTTATTGGTTTGCTCTCTTCACGAAGGAAGACATTAACCACCTTTTTTTTTTTTTTGAAACTTATATTTGAAATGTCTTTTGTGAATTTGCACGAGGTGGTGGCCACTTAGAAAACCACTGGGCCTCCCTGCGGTGTCAGGCTTGGTCTGAGACCTGCCACATCCTCATGCAAACAGTGCAGCTACTGAGGGTCATCTTTCAGCTCCGGGGTGGGGAGGGGGACTGGGAGGCCCTGGGCTGGAGGCGCTCACACCCCTCCCACCACCCCCATCCGGGAGAGGCCGAGAAAGGAGGGCCACTTGGCAGAAATAAAACACAAGAGCATGGAGTCTCAGGAAAGAGGAACAGCCCTCATGCTGAGTTTGGGATCTTTATTCGTTAAGACATCAGGCCCCAGGCCCTAGCTCTCAGTGAAGGGGCTTGCTGGGAGCAGGGTAGGAGAAAAGCAGGGATGAGCCATGGCCGGCAGAAGACACAGGCAGGGTGCCCCGAGTGTGGATGGTCATTTCCCGGGGTGTCCAGGGCCAGTGGACGTTGCTTCAAAATCTGCATTCTGGAAACAAAGCACAGGCATGCATTCCCATGACCAGCCTCGACCTCACCCACTGGGGGCCTGGCTTCTCAAGGTCAAGACAGGCTCCAAGGTCAGTGCCTTGGCCTGCGTTCTCCCCAAGTCACTGGGAAAGCGTTGAGTGTCTGACCCTGTGGAGAATAGCCATATGTCCCACCAGAACTTAGGGGTTTAGGCAGGTGGTAGAACGGATGGGCCTCGGCAGGGCCGCTGTCAGCTCCCAAAGAAGGTATAACCCCTGCCCCCCACTGAGGGGCCCCAAAGACTGGGGACAGCCAGCAGAGAGGCAATGGACAACTCCTTCCTGGTCCCGAAGCCTTATCTGGGCCTCTGCCTGGATTTGCCAGGAACGGGGAGGAGGCCCGGGGCAGTGGGCGGGGGCCCCATCATCCATCAGGATGCTGGCATCAGCTGGAAGGCGGCTCCACTCCCTCATCCCGGGGGACAAAGGGCGCGCGTGCTGATTCCAGGAAGGTGCCTTTCGTAGGCGCCTGTGTCCTTCTTAGAAGATGAGCTGGCACCTGGACTGCCAGGTGGCTTCTAGCAGACCTCACGCCCCAGTTGTGGGGTGGGACTGACGGAGCCAGGGCTGCACACCCCCCCCACCCCGTCCCCGCCCCCGCGTGTGCGGACCCCTGCTTGTGGCTGCCCCGGGCTTCCCCCGGAATGGCAGTCCTGCCCCGCTGCACCGCGGGTGGAGGCAGGCTGGGGGAAGGTGGTGGGGTGCGGGGAGGCACCCGGGCTCCGTGCCTGGGGCCGCCACTGTCTGTCCCGCCAGGAGCACATCACAAACGACAGGGCTTTGTTTGCTGAATGTGGCTTCAGACACTGGCCCAGCTTCCCAAACCTGTGCATTTTCCACTTCGCTCCAGGAGAGTTTTTAAACTAGCTCCCTGTACGTAGCACCTTGACTTTGAACACCTTTTCGAAACAACAGCTTTTAGAGTCGGCACAGACCCCTCAGCAAAGGGGCAGCAGGGACAGCCCCTGACTGAGGCCTCCGCCGATGGACAGCCGCGGCGCTGGGGGCCCTGCCCGGGCGTGCGTGGCCTCCGGGGACCCAGGAGGGATGCCGTGCCCGCGGGGCCGCTCACCTGTGTCCTGCAGAGGCTTGAAGCACCAGGGCACCCCGTGGATGCTGGAGTCGAAGCAGCAGCCCCGATTGGTGCACTGCTCGGGGGTGATGTGGGGGTAGCCACAGTCCACCCTGTCCTTGGCCGGCACCTCACACAGGTTCGTCGCTGTCCCAAACAACACCCAGTCAGCACGGGTGGGTCTGCTGACTTCAGTTTGCCAGTGCGCAGCCTCCCCCCGGCTTCTGAGTTCAAAGCAAATGACCCCCCTGAACCCCAACATCTGCTTGAGGAGGCCGCTCTTCCCACAGAAGGTTTTACTTGCCCTGTGGGAGCTCTGGGCCTTGGCCAGGGTGCCCCTCGCACTGTGTGCCCCCAGGGCCCTGTCAGGGGTCCGTGAGCCGCGGTTCCTTCCCCCTGGCCATCTGGGGGCCCCCAAACCCAGAAACAAGCTTCCCCTTCACTGTTTTACCAACACAAACGGCTCCCTTAAAAAAATGAATAGTATAATAGGAGATACACACTTAAAACAGAAAATCACAATGCATGCTGTCTTCCCTTCCCTTTCCGTGTCTCCCTGTCCCCCAATCCCTTGGTGTGTCCCATCTTTCTGGCACATCCTTCCGTCCTCAACACTTGTTTTTGAAGCAAGCCTATGTTGCTCAAGCTCTGCAATGTTCGCCTGGTCACTTAACAGGATTTTCCTTAGGAAAACAGAAACCACAGGAAATCCTTGAAATCCTCTTCTATCCCTGCCACTGGGTAATTCCTCATTCCAGGGCTTCCCGAACCTCGCTCGCGCTGGGATCCCAGAGACACTGTGGCGTGGGGGGGCACATCCTGGGCTGCGGGATGTGCAAAGCCGTCCGGGTGACTCTGGCAGGCACCCAGGCTGGGAGCCGCTCCCTTCGGCACCTGGTAGGAGCCACACCCTAATTTCTTCAAACTTGGGTGGATGGGACAGCCACACCCCCCACCTGCCGGTGCAAGGCCAGGGCTAAGTGGAAATTGTCCGTGTGCACTGAAAACGTTCTGGAAGAAACCGTATTCATTGGTCTTTCTGTTTGGTAAATGTGCCAACACAGTGTGTCAAGACCTATCTGGTAATTCAGAAATCTGCGGCCAAGAAGGCAACGGGGTGGTAGGGTTGGCAGAGGCTGCCAGCCAGGCCAGATTCTAACCTGGGTTCTAACCTGGTCCCAGCACCGACTGAGAGGGCTGCATGCAGTCAGTTACTAACTTCCTGAGCCTCGGTTTCCTTGTCTGTAAAATGGAAACAGCAAGACCCAGTTTGTAGGGCTATTGAGAGGAACCGTGTGCATCTGGTAAATGGCAATTACTAATTAACGTGGGGGTCTGGCCACCTTCCTCAAGCCCCCACACGGCCCCCTGAGCCTGCATCTTGCATCCCTTCTCCTCCTCTGCCCTCCCCACGCCGGCACCAGCCCCCTCCTTCCTAAGGCGTGAAGAGGAAGCCTGAGCAGTACTCACACAGGCCCTGGTACGCTGCTGCCCAGCTGGAGGACCCCAGGACCAGGACCACCACCAGCAGCCAGAGCGCTCTGGCCTCCATGGTCACGGGCGGGCGGGCTCTGGGGACCCGTCTGCTCAGAGAACGTGCCACATCGGCCAAGGGGACGCATTTATACCCCGGTGTTTGTACAGGTATTCTGGCTTCTGTTTGCTTGGGGACGGCCCTCCCCTCCTCTGGCCGCACCTACTTTTCCCTGCGCAGGACTGTGAAGCCCCCGGTAGCTCATCTTCCCGAAGGGGGACAGGCCAGTTTGACCCCACCGCCGGGGTAGCAAGCCAGCTGAGAGGCCAGACTCCAGTCCCCGGTTTACCACTCCTCTCTGGGGAGCGGGGCTGTGAGTCCCAGGCTAGCCTGGCCTGGGGGAGAGGATGAAGGCTCAGCGTGGGGCTGGACAACAGCCAGAAACCCAGCCACGAGCAGCCCAGAAGGCAGTGACCACAGCGCCCAGAACCAAGACCAGCCTTGGGGACTTGAAAAGACGAGTCCCGCCCGAGATTCAGGCACGCTGTGCGCGCGGATCTCGTTCCTCCCTTGTAATTCTTGAAAATCCTGTCCTTTCCGTTTCTCTTGTTGACAGCAAGATTTATTTTTTATTATTAAGTACACTTTCATAAATGTATTTGATACACTGATTCAATATTTTAAGAAAACTGAGTTTGATAAATTGTAGCATTTTGATAAAAATAGAATACATGCAGTAGGTTTTGAAAAAGCAGACAGTCCAAAAAAGTCCTCTCCTGTCCAGAGGTATCTGCATTTAACACTTTCTTAAGTATTTTTCCAGAAATGTTCTCTCTAGACCTAAGCACGTTTTTAACCCAAATGAGCACTTACTAGACATCTTTGTTCAGCTTGTCTTCTTTTTTTTAATGAAAGATATATCCTGGAAATTATTATTTTTTTTTGGCCCAAATCAGTATAGCTTTTATTGCATATTTAAAATATCACAAGTCTGAAAAATCATCCGGCATCTTGCTGTTTCTGTAGATGGACAACTCAGATCTTATTCATCAGCCTGCTGAACTGTTCCTTTTTCAGAAACATAGGTACCATCCAAAAATTTTCTGATATCCTTGTTCTTAACAGTTGTGGCTTGCTGAATCAAAGCAGCTGAGTTCGATACAAGTTCAATGTCATTTCCTTCAAGAATTAACTCATCTTTTTGGTCTTGAGATACAGAACAAGCAACACCTGGCCTCATCCGAACCCTGCGGATGTATTTCTCACCCAAGAAATTTCGGATTTCAACAGGAGAACCATTCTCCTGAATAACAACGTTGATGGGGAAGTGAGCATACACAGACCTCATCTTATAAGGGAAGCCCAGTGTAACGCCCTTGATCATGTTCTGTACATGACTACAGATAGTGCGAACAGTAGCCAGCTCTTTTCTATTTCCCCACCATTTGTCAACTCGGAGCCTCTTCTTTTTCTTTCCAAGAAGACTGAGTTCTACATTGATGTGATTGAAGTCCCTTCGCAGGGTTCCTCTGGGTCCCTTCACAATAACTGTGCGTCCCTTCAGAGTGATGTCGACATTTTCTGGAATGTCGACAGTCTGATTGCTGAGAATGGTCTTCATTCTCGCAGGAGATGCGGCAAAGAGACTATCCTGGAAATTATTTTATAACAGCTTATCAAAACAAGATTGGGAATAATTATACCCATCTTCCAGAGGAATGAACTAAGGCTCACAACATAAGGTGCCTGTCAGGGCTTCCTCTCGTGGGCCTGGCAGAGCTGGGATCCAGGAAGTTGTGTAGGACCCGGAAGCAGGTGCACCTGGCAGGTCACCTCAGCCCCTGGTGGGGGTGCGGTGTTGGAGGGGGACCTGAACTACCCTGGAGTTTGTCCCCAGAGCTGTCCTCCACCCAGTGACTGATGGGGCCTGGCTCTGCACACGTTGGCGATGAGGGTTGGGTCCCACCTTGCAACAGCCCAGGCCTAGCCCTTCCTACGCAGCAAGCACCCACCATCTGCTTTTCACCCCCTCTTCCAAGACAAGTGCAGGCTGAAGACAGAGCAATGTCTGTGTTGTTTTCAGGGCTTTGCTTTGCTCCCAGAAGGAGAGTGTGTGCCCAAGCTGAAAGATGGCACAAGTTTTGTTATGAAGAGATCATCGTAGAGAAAATCCCTGGGAGCCTTTTCTGGACAGACCTCTGCCTTTGCACTCCCCATAATATCCTCAGGCCCGGCCAGGTTGTGGAGCTGGGCCAGGTTCCAGGAAAGCCCAAACACCCGGAATCGGGCTTGGAAGGGCCAGCTATTGGAACGCTGTTGGGGCACCCTGGTTTCCATCTGACCACACTTGGAATCCCCTGGGGAGCTGGACCCATACGGATGCTGTCCCCTGCCCGCCCAGCCTGGGCAGGTCATTCAGATGAATGCTGGTGAAGCCGGCACCCAGAACCACCACCACGGAGGAAAACCAACCTGCCTTTTGCTTTGGTTTAGTTCAGCTGATGTCAATGGAGCCTGGGGCTTGTGCTGAGGTGACAAATCCCTGCCCTTGAAGAGTCCCCCGTGGACAAACAGAATCATGTTGGGATTCTGATGGGAAGCTGAGAGGTTTGGCCCTGAGTCACTTTACCACCTGTTCCTCAGTTTCCCTGCCTGTCCCGGAGTGCCTCACTCACGGGGCTTGCACGAGTAGGTAACGCAGAGCTGAGCCAGGCGCCTGGGGACATACGCCCGTCGCCCACCGGGGGTGGCCCAGCAGCCGAGGCCACCGAGGGTCCAGGCTCCCGGGTCTGATAGGGCATCCGTGGCATGGGGACAGCGAGAGCAGGGCTAGGGCTGCCGGCCAGAGACAGCACTGACTTCTCGGAGGACGGCCGGCTTGAGCTGGCCCATGGGCACTAGAGCTTTGGGTAAATGTTTGTGTGGGGACGTCCTGCGTGTCCCTCTTCTCTGCTCTAGTGAACCCTCCAGCCAGGGGCAGGGGATGGGTCCAAAGAGTCCGGCCTGCCTTCCAGAGCTCACGGGCCTGTGGCCGTCCCCAGCCTCCCTGCTCCTTTGGAGGGGGACGTTCATCTTCCAGGAATGAATGAAAACCAGACCCAGGACTGGTCACTGGACCCGCCCTGACAAGGGGCTGCCCTGGGCGCCCCTGAATCTAGGGTGAGCACGCCCCGGCTCCTGCTGGGGGCTGTCTCCTTCCTCAGCCTCTGACATCCCACCTCTGCCATAGTCGCCCTGGCCATGTGCCTGGACTGTCCTGGGATCCCTCCCCTGTGAATCCCTCCTGCCCTGGGCTTTGTGTGCCAGTGTCCCAGGGAAGGTGAGGTTCCTCTGGACGAGTCCAAGCAGCGGGCAGTCTGGCCCTGAGTGCTGGGGCTGCAACCTCCCACCTGCAGAGTGCATGGCCATTGGCAAGTATATGCCACAAGCAGGGACTGAGTGTGGATCGAGGGCGAGGTGCTCCACCTGCTAGTGTTGGACCCTGAGGACACCAGGCAGAGCCCCTGACCTCAGAGCCCACAGTCCAGGGAGGGAGACTAAGTCTTGACATGTGGATTGTGATGCAATGTGGTAAGAACTGATGGGACGCCGCCCAGCAGGCTTCTCGTTGGGAGTGCAGTCTGAACTGGGTCTTGAGGAGCTGAAGAGGAGTTCACAGACGGGTGAGGGTCTGAGGGTGTCCCAGGCAGGCACTGCTAACTCACCCAACACAAGAGTCAACGTGGCCTACACAGGCTTATATATTCTGTGCTACCTCTCAGCTCACTAAGATTGTCACTCTGGGTTATTCAAGCCAGCAGAGGGCCAGATGGGGGGAAAAGATACACAGTCCGGTTAATCGGTACACCTGGGTTAGCCCTGGGTTCACACACCCGCCGGGGGTGGGGGGCGGGGAGCCTCCTATTGACCGGCTGTTACTCGTTCTACAGCTGCCCTGGGTGTGGGCACCTCCCTCTGTGCCCTGCACAGAATTTCCTCCTGCTTCCTGGAGGGGGCTTCCAGACCCTTCCTGGAGGCTCCGGTCTTTGGCGTGGTTTACACTGAGGACAAAGGGTGGGGGGTAGAACTGTGCAGATGAGTCCCCCACCCACTCTGGAGAAGGAGGGGAGGAGAACAGAGGGTGAGTCAGGACAGAGGCCGAGGCCCTAGGAGGCCCCTTCTGGGGCTTGCACCTCCTGCCCCCAGCGTATATGGGGGCATGAGACGCCCCTGGGTGTTCTGGAGGAACTGACGTCTAGCCCGAAGTCTACTGCTTGTGGTTTCCGCCACAGTAGCTCTAACCCCAGAGCTCCTGGGGGCTGGGGCTGTTGCATCAGCCTAGTGGCTGTTACAACAAGGAATGTGTCCCAGGAACGAGTTAGCTGAAGACCCAGACACTAAAGGGAGAGAGATAAGTCAGAAATAAACAGAGCTAATAGCTGGGAGCAGATGTGCCTGGGGGCACCAGGCCCCTCACAGACAGCCCCGCCTTTCAGCCCCGCCTTTTCTGGAGTAACTGGACCAGCTCCAACAGGAAGCCCAGGCTCCGGTAGTTGCACTGACACAGGACAGGGAGATGCCCCTGACCTGCACCTTTCGCTTGCCAGCCCCTGGCGCGGCCCTGAGCCGCGGCCCAGGAGAACGGCCAGGAAAGGTGGAAGATGGCCCCCTGCCGACCTCTGTGCACTTCCCTGTGAATCCAGCCATGTTGCCAAGTGACTTCCCAAGAGTGCTGGAATGGATAGTGTCCTTCCCAAATTCATATCCTTCCTGGAACCCCCAAGAATGGTTTATTTGGAATTGGGTTGTGGCAAGCGTAATTATTTAAATGAAGATGAGGTCGGACTGGAATGGGGTGGCCCTTAATCCAATATGACTGGTGTCCCTATAAGGACAGAAACAGACTCTCGGGGAGACGACATGTGACAATGGAAGCCCGGGCTGGGGGGGATGCAGCAAAGTGCCGAGGAGCGCCAAGGACTGCCTGCAGCCTCCAGGGGTGAAGGAGGCAGGAGGGACCCTCCCCCAGCGCCCTGGGAGGGAGCCCCGCTTCCCCACCTTCATTTCAGACTTCTGGCCTCCAGAGTGCGAGGGAAGAGCTCTCTCGCTGGAACCACCTAGTTCAACGGCCTTTGCTAC